CCCCCCCCCCCCCCCCCCCCAAATCATTTTACCTAATAAAATGGGGTCACTCTTTTCCACAATAAGACACATCAAGAATCAAGACATGATAAGACACGATAAGACACGATAAGACAACAATAAGACACCAATAAGACACAATAAGACATGAAATGATACAAAAAGATGTTCTAAAACACGAAAAGACACTGGTGACGTATGTTTTATGTGTTTATTTTGCGGATATTCAAGTTGTTCAATCAGCCCTCGGTCTTCGCACTTGTCCAGGTTTTCTGCCTTGATAGACTGGCTGTCTCACTATGGTGTTTCCACTGGTGGACTGGACCAGAGGGCCTTCCTTTGCTTTGGCCATGAAATGCCTGAAAAGGACATCAGCGGTTTCTGCATTTTTAAAAAGAAAACGTCCGAAGCCAAGAAAAACATCCTGTAGTCACGTACCAGTTGGTAGTGTCCAAGGCCAACAAGTGACCTCCGCAGCTCACGGAACTGCGCCTCAACTACACTCTTTTAGAATATTGCACAGGTCTGGTAGCTTCTGTTTCTGCCAGCCCACCTTCTGTTTCAGGACATTATTGGCACTTCCAGCCAGATTGTTCTCCCACAAAGTAGAGTTGACAATCAAACCTGGTTTGGTCATTGTAGTGGCATTCTCAACAAAGAGGTACTCCATCCTCCTTAAATACTGCCCAGCCTGAACGTTGTCCTGCTGACTGCTGAGCAGTTGTAGGACATCCGCCAAGACGGAGGGATCTGTCTCCCTGGAAACCACACCACCTGGCCCAAACCTGATTCACAAGCTCTGTTCGATGACTTTGAGGCATCCCCACCTCATCCCTGAGAAATGCATCAAAGTGTTACCTGGCATGGACTGCGCACATGACTCTTTGAGCCTGAGGAAAGGCTCTTTCAATAGCAACAAGTATAGCCCTGTCCTCGTTGCTCCTGAAAACTATAGGGCTCTCCACCCCCAATACGAAGCACAGGTATATATAGAATGTCTTTTCGTGTTTTAGAACATGACATGTCTTTTCATGTCATTTCATGCCTTATTGGTGTCTTAATGTGTCAAATCATGGAAAAGAGTGACCAATAAAATGTGCTAATGAGAGAGGCTGCAGCTTACTCAACAGCACAGGAATAAAAGTGAATTATAGTGGCTCGTTATATTTCTCAAATTCAGACAGCATCGGGAATGCATCCCTGAGCCATGGTGAACAATTTTGAAATCTTTTCAAGTATCGAATCATAATGCCCATATCAAGCTGTTTTAAAAACAGTTCATTTGAACATATTTGGCCAGAC